GGGGAGGGCGGGGCAGGCAACGCCAGACTCGCTTCCCATTGGTCAGACGTAGGAGAGTGCGTCGGAATATGGGTGGGAGCTCCGAGGATTGGGCGGGGCGGCGGCCGAGCGGCGCGGCGATTGGTCAGTCCTGAGGCGGCGGGGCGGGTCCGAAGTTTTGCGGAAGTGGATGCTTAGCGCAGCGGCGCGGCGCTCGGTGGCGAGCAGCGGGAGGTCATCGGTTTCAAGGAAATACCTTTTATTGCCCCTGGCCCCCCAGGACCGCCGCTCCCGGCAGCAGGAGGCAGCATGGCAGCGGCTCCTCAGAGCAGGATGCAGCTGCCCTTGCGCTTCACCTCGGAGGCGGCGCGGACGAGCCCCAGCTTCTGCTGGCTGTAGGGCGGGTAGCGCAGGGCGTTGAGGGCCTCCCGGCCCATGCCGCGGTGCAGGCAGCCGCGGTGGTGGGTGAAGGTGTCGAAGGTGAATTTGCCGTGCTGCATCCCCAAACCGCTGTTTCCTGCAATGCACAGCACAGGGCCCCGATTGGACACTAGGAAGCGAAGCAACAGCCTCCTTGGCTGCCTCTTTCCAGCGGGAAACTTCAGCAAAAAGGTTCAGAATGAAATTTAGACCTTTTCAAGGCCCGCAGGTTTACAAGAGCTTCGCGTGAAGCAAGAGGGAGGGCCGTCAGAAATTGCACACATATAAGTAAGTTTGCCTTTAAAAATATCACCCTTGGGTGATTTGTTAGATCTGAGGTGGGATGATGGCAAATGCTTCTGAAGTTTTCACCCTCATAGTATCTGTGCTGTGAGCTGGAGCCCCTGCTGTTTACTCCTCAATAAACTCCTCAAGACCTGCATTGCATAAAGGAACATGTGTACATTTGGGATTTCATAGGAAGTTGGGTTCAGACCCACAGTCCAAAATGGAGATCCATGAAAAACTGAAGTTCTGAATTCCTGAAAACGGTGGTAAAGTGACAATTTCCAAGTTCCCTCCTGCAGAGACAAGGGGTAGCACAGCAGTGGGATGAGTGTGACAGGCTGGCTGTCGGCACCCTGCAGAGGCACTGTGTGTGGAAAGAAAGGTCTAGAGATGTTTCTGTGGTGGCCACATTCAAAATTCCCTGTCTTTTAAACAAGAAATTTCCACATACGCAAGGAATAATGTGCTTGGGATGGCAAACATGGGGAGAAGGTACCTCAGAGTGCTGAACACAGGTGGAGCAGAAAAAAGCCCCAGAGCTCAGCCCTGGTGCAGCAAAGCAGAGGGCTTCTGGTGGGGCTCTACCTGGTTCAGAAGGATTTTCCAACAGAGCATTAATCTCTCTGAACCCAGGGCTCAGGCCTGCTTGCCCCATCTCCCCCGAGACCGCTCCTCGTCATGGCCCACACAGCTCAGCACCAGGGGTGGGATCATGGCCGGCTCTCATTGGCCAGGGGCCAGCAGGTTGGGGGATTTGGACCTACCGATCCCACCAAAGGGCAGCGAGGTCAAGGTCACGTGCATCAGGGTGTCATTACCGCAGAAGCCACCGCTGCTTGTACGCTCCAGCACCTGTTTCACCACCTGGGAGGGAGACAGAGAAGGTGGGTGTGGATCTCGCACCCTGTTCCCACCCCTCCAGCTGCAATCTATCCCCCACAACCAGGGCTCTCTGCCTCTCAAAAAAAACTCCTGGAGCCTGAACAAGGCTGAATACACTTGCCAAGGGGCATGGGGCAAGCATATCCCTGACATGTACACTCTACCTTGTCATTGGAGGAGAAGGCGTACACAACCAGCGGCCGCTCATGGCTATTAATGAAGTCAATGGCTTTGTCCATGTTGGCTACAGTGACAATGGGCAGGATGGGGCCGAAGATCTCCTCCTGCATGATCGGATCAGAGGGCTGCACATCCACCAGCACCGTGGGAGCTGCAGAGAAAGAAACCCGAAGGCATTAGCCATGCCTGGAGGTTGGAGATGACACCTCAGTCCTCTCGCCAAGTCCCATACCTCCTCTAAGATAGGACAGACACCTTGCCAAGCTGCCCCATTCCCCTGCAAACCTCCCCTAAATGTCACTTCCATCTAGAACATCCCCTTCGGCTGCAAGACCCTCTCCAAGATCCAAGTCCACCCCACTGAAAGATGAAGACTTGGGTGAAGTCCAAGCTCTCACCGATGTAACGCTCCTTCTCATCCGTCTGTCCTCCGATGACCGCACGCCCACTGCGCAGCAGCGTCTGCACCCGCTGGAAGTGCTTGTCCCCGACAATGCGGCCAAAATCAGGGGATTCCTGAGGCTTGGGGCCATAAAAATCAGTGATAGCCTTATCCAGAGCAGGCAGCAGCTTCTTCTGCATCTCCACACTGCACAGCACGTAGTCGGGTGCGATGCAGGTCTGTCCCGCATTGTAGAAGCGACCCCAGGCCACCCGCTGGGCCACGTTCTGCACGTCGCAGGTGTCAGACACGTAACAGGGGTTCTTGCCCCCCAGCTCCAGTGTCACCGGCGTCAGGTGCTTGGCAGCAGCTGCCATCACAATCCTCCCCACAGAGGAGCTGCCTGTGGGCCAGGAAAAGATGCATCACAGGGAGGATACAACCATGCTACAGCCCGACCCATGGGCTTCGCCTGATGAGCAGCCAGAGGAGATACATCAAGTCCCACTCCTATCCTGCACCCACCTTGGTGTGCAGCTCAGGGCTGAGCCTGCGCCCCCAGAACCCTCTCCAGCTCTACTGCATCCCCCAGTTCAGCCATTACAAAACCCAGATATGGTTGTTAGATCCTGACAGGTCTGTGGCAAATCCTGCGCTGGATCTGGCCACCAGGTCCTTGACACAACAAGCTGTGCCGCCTTCATGGTCAGGCAAAGGGGCCTCTCTGCAGGCAGGCTGCCTGCTGTCTTGCATGAGGAGCAGGGTAAGCCACAGCAGGGTGTCAGAGGGAACCCCTTTTTCTCACTGCACAAAAAATGCTCTGCTCTGGCTGGTGGGACATACCGGTGAAGAAGATGTAGTCAAACTTGTTCTCCAGCAGCATAGTGGTCTCCTGCACGCCGGCCGTCACCACGGCAAAGCAGTCCTGAAAAAGGAGAGGGAGGGTCCCCTGCTGTCAGCATCTTCCCAGGGCCATGCTGTCCATGTCCCCCCTACCAGCAGCCTGGTGGGCACCAGCTGCGCATGGGGGAAGGAGGTACAGCAGCACCTAAAACCTCCGGGCATGGTGCTGGTGTGTGCACAGGAGGTTTGGGGACAGCACGGCCCTTGGACGGGGCCAGGGAGAGCTGCTTACATTGTCCAGGTAGCTGGGCAGCACTTCAGCCACAAGTCTCTCTGAGTTCTTGGTCATCTCTGAGGGTTTGACAATGACACAGTTACCTGCCGGGGGAGAGACAGGCCGTCATGCAGTGACATGGTGACCACCAGCCCTTCTGGCCGCCCCCAGCCTGGGGACCAGCATGGCCTGGATTCTCCAGGTTCAGCTTACCAGCAGCGATGGCCCCGATGAGGGGCACCAGGAGAAGGTAGATGGGGTAGTTCCAGGGCGCGATGATGAGCACCACCCCATACGGGTCCTTGCGGATGAAGGCCGAGTCCAGCTGCGTCACCTGCAGGACACCCCAGAGTCTCCTTTCCCCCACTGCCATCATGTCCACACCCTACCCATATCTGCCTGGCCAAGGGGGTCCTGACCCGCATCCTCTCCCTCGTTTTCCCTCCTTACCAGATTCTTGTCCACGTGCTTGTCCTTCATCCAGTGGGACAAGTTGTTCAGTGTCTCATGGAGCTCGTTCTTGCAGAGGAGGATCTCGGTGAATTCAGCTTCGAAGGGCGGCTGGGGACAGAGCACCCTACGCGTCAGCTCTGCACGTGCTGCAGCACCTCTTAGCCCCACTCTGCATATTTATTTATTTATTTTTATTCAGGATTTAGGCCCCCAAGCCCTTCCTGTCCCACGGTGGATGCACAGTTCGCTCTCATCCCCAAGCTGCACAGCACAGCATGCCACGGGGAAAGGGTATCCTGTTGCAGCATCACCAGGCCTGTCCTGTGGGCAGTAACCTGCCTGCAGCCAGGTTTTCCCTGCTGGGAGCTCAGCTGAGGTTCAGGAAAAGTAAGAATTTGGGGAGGGGAGGGGTCTGTGAAGTGAGTGGTGGTGTTTGGGGGAAGAAAGGGCTGGTCTGGCTACTGAATCTTGTGGAGACAAGAGCATCTCAAGTCACAACCCCGTTTTCTAGCATGTGTGTTTTCACACGCAAACACGCAAACAAAAGAAGTTGATGGACACCAGCAGGACAGACTGGTTTTTACAACCTGCCAGAGATCAACTGAGCTAAGTCTTCAAAGATTTAGCCCCATCAATAAAAGCTTGGAAGACATCCGGGTGCAAATCCTGCCACCACCCCCCTTCACCTGGCTTTGACTTTTGCTCTGTGGAGGTGTCATCGGTGTGGGAATAGCACCGGTGCCGAGGTGGGCTCTGTCAGCAGCTCCTCACCTCCGATCAAGAGGGGACCCCTCAGTGTTTGTCCCACAGTTGGGTTTCTTCTCACCCAGGGGTACGGTGGCAGGCAAAGGTGGACAGGGACTCAGGGGGGAAGTGGCAGGTTTAAAGGATAAAACCAGCCGGTCCTGGGGGATATCCACCACCCAGGTGTCAAGATTTAGGAGGAAATACAGGAGAAAAGGGAATATCCAGATTTTGGAACCTGTTTGTGGAGGGCTTTTTGTTAGTGAGCTGAGAAAGTGGGGAGGAGATCCACAACAGAGTCTCGGAAGGAGGGAGCGGAGGAAGCAAAGGTTGTTCTCAGCAGGGCGGGAGGAGCGACGGTCATGCAGAGAGGGAGCCCAAAGGGCGAAGAGTTGGGGAGCAGCGCGGGCACTTGGCTTGGCATGACGTCGGGACGAGAAGCAGGACCAAGGGAGAAGCTGGGCTGCCCTTCCAGGGAGAGAGTAAGGGGATAACATGAGCAGACCAACACACTGGATGGCTCTTCCAAGGAAAAGGGAACCTCAGGCAAATAAGGAAGCATAACCAACTCTAACGATGGCTCTCAGCCCGCTGTGGTGGGCATTGGGGTGAGCGGTGTGTCTCAGGTGGGCTGGAGCAGCTGGGTTTGGGCTGGGGCTTTCCAAGTTGAGGCTGGAAAACACCGAGCCTGGTACCTCACTGTAGAGTAGAAGAAAGAAGAAGCAGAGGAACAGCGACCAGGAAGGGTCCAATGAGTTTTTAAGAATCCCAGAATCATCTGGGTTGGAAAAGACCTCGAAGATCCTCGAGTCCAACCATGAACCTCATGCTGACCATTCTCAACTCCACCAGATCCCTCAGCGCTGGGTCAACCCGACTCTTCAACCCCTCCAGGGATGGGGACTCCCCCCCTGCCCTGGGCAGCCCATTCCAACGCCCAACAGCCCCTTCTGCAAAGAAATCCTTCCTCAGAGCCAGCCTGACCCTGCCCTGGCACAGCTTAAGGCCATTCCCTCTTGTTTCTTGGTTCAAGAGACTCATCCCCCCTCTCTGCACCCTCCTGTCAGGGAGCTGTAGAGGGCCATGAGGTCTCCCCTCAGCCTCCTCTTCTCCAGACTAAACCCCCCCAGTTCCCTCAGCTGCTCCCCAGCAGACCTGTGCTCCAGACCCTGCACCAGCTCCGTTGCCCTTCTCTAGACACGCTCGAGTCATTCAACGGCCTTTTTGGGGTGAGGGGCCCAAAACTGAACCCAGTCTTCGAGGGGCGGCCTCACCAGTGCCGAGCACAGGGGTAAGATCCCTTCCCTGTCCCTGCTGGCCACGCTATTGATGATACAAGCCAGGATACCACTGGCCACCTGGGCACACTGCTGGCTCCTGTTCAGCTGGCTGGCAAAGAACCCCCACAGGTCCCTCTCTGACTGGCAGCTTCCAGCCACTCCTCCCCAGGCCTGTACGAAGAGGTTGGATGAACAGCAGGCAGAAGGATGCAGACAGGAGGCAGCACTGCTGCCTTCCAAAAATATTTGTAAGTATTGTCTGTGTTCACCCTGTTTCTGAGCATCCTTTTGCAAGCCTGGGCCAGACAGACCTTTTGATCTTGCTCCTTGTGTGAGCTAGGGATGAGCAGGGGATTACTAAGCCAGGTCTGCTCTCAGCAAAAGAGCTGGCTGCTTAAAAATAGAACAAATTATGTGGATCCCCCCGATCCAGAGTGCGGTGAGGGTGGGGAGGGTATGTGGAGGGAAGTTGAGGGTGTAGAACAACAAATGATGAGCCCTGAGTGGGGTGTGAGGCTCTGGATGTGGGTGGATGAGCTGGACCAGAGGGGGAACTATCGAGCTGGGGGGTGGGAAGGGGGGTGGTGGAGCTCTCTGAGGACTTTTGGACATGCAGGGGATGGGTCTGCTCTGCTCTCTACCCCGACATGGGAGAGGGGGAGCAAAGAGGCAGGGGACGATGCAAAGCTGGGGGTCAGGGCTCTGAGAGCTGCAACTGAGCACTGGGAGAGGGGAATTCGGACAACGTTTGGTGGAAAATCCAAGGCAGGGAGGACGCAGAGGGGGTGACAGGAGTTGGGGATGAACCTACCCAGAAGAGAGATAAACTAAGGCTGGGAATGCTAAATTACAGATGGACAGTCCCCATGGCCCCGCTCTGCCCACACTGCAGGCAGGGCTGCAGGCAGGGCAGCCCCCGGCTCCTCCAGCCATGGGGTCCCCCAGTTCCTGGTCCCCCTCTCACCTTGCCCATGTCGGAGGCGGTGGCCTCCAGGATGTCCTGCTTCTTCTCATCCAAGAAGCGGCCCAGGGCCTCCAGCTGTGCCACACGATATTCCATGGGCCGCGTCTTCCCTGAGAGCCAGGTTGCTCGCAGGCGCCTCACCAGCCCGGCGTAGGGGTTCCCACTGCAGGGATGAGGGTGTCAGGGGGACCCCCCAGCCCCATTCCAGCCCCTCGTGCTCCCAGTGATGAGAGAGGAGCTCCACATTGCTCCAGCCTCGCACCAAACTGAAGCCGTGGGGTGAGGGCAGAGCATCTGCACCCCTCCTGCCTCCCCTCTGTCCTGGCCACACGCTCTCACCTCGCAGCATCGCCGTCTGTGCTCCCCTTCCTGCTGCCACCATCATCCTCCGGGACTTTTCTGGCCCCGCTGCTGCCGGTGTCCATGGTCCCACGGGAGCGGCACAGGGTGAGTTATGCTGGGGTTGCCCAGGGGTCAGACAGGCAGCCGGCGGTCTCGTGCCGTTTGGGATGCGAACTGCAGGTTCCCCACCCCAGCTAACGGGCTGTTTTAACCCCCCCCAGGAGGTGGCCTCGGGGACCCCAGCACCGCAACTGGGATCCTGCCGAGTCGTGGGGCAGGCGGGGTGCAGGCAGCCACCCCAGTCCCCGCTACAACCCGCTCTCCCTCAGAGGAGGGAGGCTGCTCGTTTCCTGCTCTGCCCCTTGGCTGCCAGCCCCACTATGAGTCACCACTGGCTCCACTCCAAACCACTTGGGATGCAAAACGCACCCCAAACCCAACCCCGGGGCACCCCACTGCTACGCAGCCCTGCACACAACCCCGGCAGGGTGTGATAGTGGGGCTGAGGGTGGCAGGGGGACGGATGGGGAGGGTCTGGGTATCCGGCCAGCTGCCAGATTCTTGCCTGGTTTCCCCCCAAAAGCTGGGTGAAGGAGGCGCAAGGTGAGGCCACGCAGGAGAGTTCAATGCAATGTCTTTACTACAGGCGGAGGGAAAAGCAACAACCGGCACCGAGGAAAAGCAAAGGAAAGGTCCATCTAAGAGGTGGTGGGGCTAACAGCCGGTCCTCAGCCTGGCAGGAACCGTTTCTCGAAGTACAGGGCAAAAAAAACCCAGAACTTTTTGCCATTTCAGATGTGGCAAACAGTCCGGAGCTGAGGCAGCTCAGGAGGAGCAAGATGTCCGTCCGTGCCATCCCATGTGCAGCAGGGTGGCAGCGAGGCAAAAAGACATGGACTACGGTGCTGCAGAGGGGGGGTTTTGCACCCCAGTGGCAGGAGACCCAGCCAGGAATGTCCATCCTCCCCCCGCCACGAGTCTGTGAGCGGCAGGGGATGCTCAGAGCAGCGTACACGTGCCCTTACGCTTGATCTCGAAGGTGGCGGTCAGCAGCCCCAGCTTCTGCTGGCTGTAGGGTGGGTAGCGCAGGGCGTTGAGGGCTTCCAGGCCCATGTTGCGGTGCAGGCAGCCGCGGTGGTGGGTGAAGGTGTCAAAGGTGAATTTACCGTGGTATTTCCCCAAACCGCTGTTTCCTGCAATGCACAGCACAGGTCCAAACTTGCTACGGGACTCTTAGTCCTGCCCACGCCGAGCAGCGGCGAGACACAGCAAACTTCACAGGCTTTGCTCAATGCAAACGCTCCTGTTGCTGAGCAACGGGGGGACGCGGTGGCGGAGATCTCACCCTTCCCTGCCCCTTTTCCAGCTCTACGGCTACTCAGTCCAGCAAGTCCTTCCGCAGCTTACCCCTGGTGTGTTATTTTTACTGCCTACATGTATCTACATAAATTTTGCTGGGTCTACAAGGCTCCATTTCCTTCTCTAACCTCTACAGTGCTCTACCATACCTACCCCCCGTTAGGAGCTGCCAGTGTGGCCCCTACAAAGGGCAGCTTCTTCCCAAAGATCTTAAAAAAATTGGAAGCACATTGGCAATGTCAGTTCCCCCAATTCCTGCGGCTGGTTTAAGCTCGAGGTTGCACATCATGGTTAACAGCCCAGTGACTTCACATCCAAGCTACCATGGAAGCTTTGGCAAGCGCCATCTCACCCTGATGACTTCAGACCCTTCACCTGACTGGACTGCTATAAAAATGGCTTCACTGGATAATTTGAGTCCCTTTGTCTGAATCATTTCCATAAAGATAAGTTATAGGATGGGAACCACCAAAAATTGTTCCCTGAGCCACAGTCAGGCAAGGAATTAATTGTGCTTTGCTGTCGCGGTGTCCTATTATGTCTGAATCAGCCCTCAGCCCTGACAGAGATGCTGGGCACGTGCAGCATAAAACTGAGATATTTTCCCCAGGGAAAATTCTGGGGAAGAGACCAGGAGCCTGGGAAAGTATCGCTGGGAAACAGCAGCAGCAGCTCCCTGTATTCCTGTGCTCTTCCCTGGACAATGTTACAACCAGGGCCCAGGGCTGGGCAGACCTCGCTTTTCACCTGAGAAAACAATTGTTGTTGCCCCTGGAGAGCAGAAACTCTCCCTCTTTACCCAGGACAATCCCCAAGTTACCACAGTTAGGTTCTCCAAACATTTATAAGTGTTTTGCCCATATTTACTCCTAAAAGGTAGAATGAACGTACAAGCCAGATCCTGAGTGACATTAAGGGCTCCTATCCAGCACCTCACTGTCTGCAGGAGGGAGCGGCTCAAGCTGGATGTGCTCCCACCCGAGGGGCAGAGCAACGGACAGACCGACAGGAACAGCACTTGAGGAGCTCCCAGGTGTGCCTGAGGAGGGCAGGAACCCCACCCCGGCACAGAATTCACTCACCATGCCCACGTTGCTCAGAAATACCAGGGAAATAATTTAGAGATTTCACGGCTCTCTACATGAAGAATTTGCAATGATTCACTTGAACAGAGAGAAGAAACCTCAGAGTGTTCCGTGTTCAGCAGAAACAAAGCCACAGAGCCCTGGTGCAGAGATGCAAAGGGCTTCTGGTGGGGGCCTACCTGGATTTTCTGACAAAACATTAAGCCCCCTGGACCCAGATACCCCATCTTCCCCAAGACCCCTCCTCACTGCGGCCACAGCTCAGCAACAGGGGAAGGATCACACCTGGCTCACATTGGCCAGGAGCTGGCAGACTGGGGGATTTGGACCTACCGATCCCACCAAAGGGCAGTGAGGTCAAGGTCACGTGCATCAAGGTGTCGTTGCCACAGAAGCCACCGCTGCTTGTGCGCTCCAGCACCTGGTTCACCACCTGGGAGGGAAACAGAAGGTGGACGTGGATCTCGCACCTTGGCTCCATGAGCAGCACTTGACAAACATCACCCAACTCATTCATCATGCCACTGTCTCGGAGCGGCTGGGCTCAAAAGACCCCTCAGAGCATCGCCAAGGTGGTCACTGACTCCACCACCTCATTTCCCTCATCCACCTTCTGCCCTGTAGAACTGCACACACCTTGCTGTCGCAGGAGAAGGCATAGATGACCAACGGCTGCGAGCGTGCGTTGATAAAGTCAATGGCTTCATCCATGTTGGCCACAACGACGATGGGGAGGATGGGGCCAAAGATCTCCTCTTGCATGGCAGGGTCAGAGGGCAGCACATCCGCCAGCACCGTGGGAGCTGTGGAGAAGGGTTAGAGCAACAAGTCACCCCAGGCACATACACGGGTGGGCCCACAAACCCCAGACCCCAGGCCCTCACCAATGTAACGCTCCTTCTCGTCCGTCTGTCCTCCGATAGCCACGCGCCCGCTGCACAGCAGAGCCCGGATACGGCGGAACTGCTTGTCCCCCATGATGCGGCCGAAATCAGGGGATTCCCGAGGGTTGGAGCCAAAAAACTCAGTGATGGCCTCACGCAAGGCAGGCATCAGCTTCTCCTGCATCTCCACACTGCACAGCACGTAGTCGGGCGCGATGCAGGTCTGTCCCGCGTTGAAGAAGCGGCCCCAGGCCACCCGTCGGGCCACGTTCTGCACATCGCAGGTGTCAGACACATAACAGGGGTTCTTGCCCCCCAGCTCCAGTGTCACCGGCGTCAGGTGCTTGGCAGCAGCTGTCATGATGATCCTGCCCACCGAGGTGCTGCCTGCCGGCAGGGAAGAGATGCATCGTGGTGAAGATCCCACTGGCTGCGGGACGTGGTTCTCTGGGGAGCCGGGGCCAGGGGAAATGCACCGAGTCCCCCCCGAGCCTCGGAAACACACCCGCCAGATCTTCCAACGGATCCTGCCACCAGATCCCCAACACAAGCCATGCCACCTTCATGGGCAGGCAAGGGGGCCTCTCTGCAGGCAGGCTGCCTGCTGTCTTGCGTGAGGAGCAGAGTAAGGCACGTTGTCAGAGGGAACCCCTCTTTCTCACCGCACAAAAAATGCTCTGCTCTGGCCTGTGGGACATACCAGTGAAGAAGATGTAGTCAAACTTGTTCTCCAGCAGCATGGTGGTCTCCTGCACGCCGGCCGTCACCACAGCAAAGCAGTCCTGAAAAAGGAGAGGGAGGGTCCCCTGCTGTCAGCATCTTCCCAGGGCCATGCTGTCCATGTCCCCCCCACCAGCAGCCTGGTGGGCACCAGCTGCATGTGGGGGAAGGAGGTACAGCAGCACCTGAAACCCCTCAGGGTAGTGCTGGTGTGTGTACGAGAGGGTTGGGGACAGCACAGCCCTGGGACAGGGTCAGGGAAAGCTGCTTACGTTGTCCAGGTAGCAGCTCAGCATTTCAGCAACAACTCTTTCTGTGTTCTTGGACGTCTCAGAGGGTTTGACAATGACACAGTTACCTGCCGGGGGGAGACAGGCCATCAGCACAGTGACATGGTGACCACCAGCCCTTCTGGCCCCCCCAGCCTGGGGACAAGGTGCCGTGCTGGGCATGATCCTCTAGGTTCAGCTCACCAGCAGCGATGGCCCCGATGAGGGGCACGAGGAAGAGGTGGATGGGGTAGTTCCAGGGCGCGATGATGAGCACCACCCCGTACGGGTCCTTGCGGATGAAGGCTGAGTCCAGCTGCGTCACCTGCAAGAAAGGCCATGACCTCAACACCAGGCCCGGCACCTACTGCCCCACCACAGTCCAGCACGCAGCACTGTCCTCCCCAGCCCACTCAGCTCTTTCCCACCAGTTTACAGAATCCCAGAATCATCTGGGTTGGAAAAGACCTTGAAGCTCCTCCAGTCCAACCATGAACCTCATGCTGACCATTCTCAGCTCCACCAGATCCCTCAGCGCTGGGTCAACCCGACTCTTCAACCCCTCCAGGGATGGGGACTCCCCCCCTGCCCTGGGCAGCCCATTCCAACGCCCAACAGCCCCTTCTGCAAAGAAATCCTTCCTCAGAGCCAGCCTGACCCTGCCCTGGTGCTGCTTGAGGCCATTCCCTCTTGTCCTGGCGCTTGTTCCTTGGTTCAAGAGACTCATCCCCAGCTCTCTGCACCCTCCTGTCAGGGAGCTGTAGAGGGCCATGAGGTCTCCCCTCAGCCTCCTCTTCTCCAGACTAAACCCCCCCAGTTCCCTCAGCCGCTCCCCAGCAGACCTGTGCTCCAGACCCTGCACCAGCTCCGTTGCCCTTCTCTGGACACGCTCGAGTTATTCAATGGCCTTTTTGAGGTGAGGGGCCCAAAACTGAACTCATTCATTGAGGGGCGGCCTCACCAGTGCCGAGCACAGGGGTAAGATCCCTTCCCTGTCCCTACTGGTAATTCACCACCCCCTCTTCCCTTCAAGGTCAGCCTGGAGCTTCAGCCTTACCAGATTCTTGTCCACATGCTCGTCCTTCATCCAGTGGCACAGGTTATTCAGGGTGTTATTGAGCTCGTTCTTGCAGAGGAGGATCTCAGTGAAGTAAGCCTCAAAGGACGGCTGGAGACAGACAGATATCCCATGAGCATCACCCCAACACCAACCCCATCTCCTCCCTTTCCACAGGAGACATCTCCCACCTCTTCTGCCCATGAAGAACATGAGAAGCTTTAAGCAGAAGTTGTTGTCACCTCCTGCAATCCTCACAGAATATCATAGTCCCTGGAATTTTATGAATATATATGGCCAGAGGGAAAAAAAACATATTTAACAGCCTTCTGAGCTCAGCATCTGTCAGCTGCTCACCTGGCAACAGGGTCCTGAGCCAAGAGGGAACCAAGTAACGTCACCAGAGCTCCAGGAGCTCCAGAGAAGCTGGTACTGGTGTCAGAGGCAGCTCCGCTTTGCTGTCCTGGGACAGGACAGTGCTCTGGCACTGGTGCATTTGTGTCCCCACCACTTGGGGACATGAGCTGGAAGCAAAGCCCTGAGCTCCCTTCTACAGCCCATGCACAAAAGCTGACCTTAAGACCTTCCTTTGTTCCAAGAGAAATACAAATGAATGCCTTGTGATGGAGCTCAGCTGAGCACCACCAGACCCCCATCCCAGGCACAAACCCCTACAGCTGCTGGGGTTCCAGCACCAAGCCAGCACATGGCTGGGAGAGGCAGGTCGGATGAGACACCCCAGTCGAGGAATTAAACAAACCCAGCAGGTTTCTCCAAGATACACCATCCCAACAGGCAATGACTAAAGGGACAGTGACTCGGGAGAGGTGGCGGGACGTCAGAGCCGGGATCGCAGGGGCTGCCGAGGCATTTCCTGTCCGTGGTAGGTGCTCCCTGCTGCCGTAAGCACAGCTGCGAGGCACAGCTCAGGACTGTTCTTGTGGGAGAAGCATGAAGATATGAGAAGATAACTCAGCAAAGCCCCTTGTCACCCTGGAGAGCGGGAGGAGCAAAGCTCCTGCGCTGTGAAGCCGTGTTGGCGAAGCGCAGTGGGCGCAGCTGACACCCTCCACCGCAACATCCTTTGGACTCCTCCAACCCCAAAGCATCCCTGGCCAGGAGCCTTCCCCCATCACTGCAGCAAAACACTGCTTTGAGGTTGGAAAGTTCTCATTCCACCACCAAGCCCAGCTGAGAGAGACCTTCAGTTCCCCAATGCTGCTCAAGTGCCTGGATAGGTGCTGCTGCTCCTCGACGTGAGGGCTCACGGTGGGCCCATCAGATGTCAGGTGAAGCAACGGAGCTGCTCTTGGCTCAGGCTGACAGTTGCATCACTAGGAGGATGAGGAAATTGCCGGTAAAGATGAGCCATTCTGGGTTTGGACAGGACACGAGGGTTGCAAGATGGGATATTAAGTCTGAGGTCATCCAAGGGCCTTCAATCATTGATGGACAGAAACCGGCATCCCTGGAGGGAGGTACCCACCTCAGAGACGTAAGACCAGATGAACTGTCCATCTAACTATGAGGGCCCGGCTGCATAACAAGCGTATTACTAGACAACCGGCTCTAATTACATACAATTAGGAGAGATGAAGGACGCACTCCAAGTGTTGATGCCTACCAAGCTCTGGCTGAAGGAGAAGGCCCTCACCTCAAACAAGGCAATTAGGAGCTCTGGGAGATGTCAGGGTGTTGAAAGCCACGTCTGAGGGCACAGGCTGCTGCGCTGATACGCCCACAGATACAAGTCCTTTGGGGCTGAGTGTTATCTCTACCAGATAAGAGCAGTTATACTGCACCGGGGCAAGCCACGCCTCTGAAAACATTTCTGAATATGTGAGCAAAGCATGAGGTGGGCTGCACCACACATCACGAGAAGGGGAAAAGTGGGAGACAAAGGTCCTAAAGCTGCTGGACACTGATGAAGCAAGCTGATAATGCTTCTGCTTCCTCAGTGGATCATCCGGGAGCTCCTGGCGTGCCGCAACAGCCAGAGCCACATCCAGGTCCCTGCCCATGCCACCGCACGGCTCAGCACCGTGCCAGAGAAACCAGTCCCTGCGAGGCCGATGAGCCCTGAGCAGCCCTGGGAGGAATGTGCAAGGCCAGCACGTTGCACAACGATGATAATCCCCGGTGGGACCAGGCCGCTGAGGAGCAATTCCAGGACATCACATTCTGTGGTGGTCACGTGAAGACACCAGGAGCTCGACACGTGGGGGCGAAGCTCGGGAACACCGAAGTTCCCACCTCATAGCAGCCAACGGGGACTTTGCCCGGTTTAAGCGCAGCAGGGATGGGCTTAGCAGCATTAAGCCTGCCCTACGCACACTCCTGCTGACCCTGGCTGTGGGGAGCTCTGCAGGGACCCACCACCCATGGGTGGTCCCCACAGACCCAGCACCCACAGGAGCTCCCCACCAGCCCTGGAGCACATCAGGGGGGATGCAGGACTCCAGTGAGGGGAATCCCAATGCCCAGAGTTCCACACCTGCCCCCAGGAAGATGCAAAACCCAGAGAAGGGTGGGTAGAAAGGGCCCCAAAGATGCGACCCCGGATTCCTCTCACCTTGCCCATGTCGGAGGCGGTGGCCTCCAGGATGTCCTGCTTCTTCTCATCCAAGAAGCGGCCCAGGGCCTCCAGCTGTGCCACACGATATTCCATGGGCCGCGTCTTCCCCGAGAGCCAGGTTGCTCGCAGGTGCCTCACCAGCCCGGCGTAGGGGTTCCCACTGCAGGGATGAGGGTGTCTGGAGGACCTCCCAGCCCCATTCCAGCCCCTCATGCTCCCAGTGAGGATGGAGAGGAGCTCCACATCACCCCAGCCCCACATCACCCCAACCCAGTATCAAACTGGAGCCCCAGAGTCCCTGGAGAGAGGGCAGGGAGTCTACACCCTGAGTCTTCCCCTTGCTGCCAGGAGCATCACCCCTGCAGCACTGTTCCTTGTCTCCTCCCTTGGGCCACGCTGGGGTGTGGTGGCCCACAGACCCCAAACTTGTCCTCCCAGCACCAACCCAGGGACCACCAGCACTGCCACAGCACCCCCTTACCCACTCACTCCAAGCACCCCATCTCCCTTCTGCCCCTCACTCTCACCCTATGGCACTGCAGTTCTCCAGCCCCTTCCCGAGGCCTCCGCTGCCTGCACCGCTGCCTGCACTGCAGCTGGCAGCTTTCCCGGCATTGCTGCCCACCAAGCTGCACTTGTCATAGCCTGGGGTCTGCTGGACAGAGGGCTCAAGGGACTGGTACATGCCGAGCTGTGGCGAGGAGCTGCTGGTCTCCACGGAGAGTGTGGTGGCCCTGGGGAAGAGACACGGGGTGGGTTACACAGGAGCTGGAAACGCCGGAGATGCCGGCTTGCTCCCAAGAGGAGTCAACCCGCAGCCACCCGTGCCCCGAGCTGCCCACGGCACCTTTGAAGGGTGACTTCATGCTCGGGGCTGTCCTAGCCATGGGGTGACTCAACCCAGTGCAGCTGCCAGAGGCCCCAGTGCACCCAGCGGGGGATGCCTGAGATTCCCGGGCCCTCCCTGTGCTCTGGGATGGCCACCAACCTCCGGCCAAGGACTGATGTGGGGTCACCCCACAGGGACCTCAGGGACCCTGATGTGGGGCAGCATCTCCAGATGCTCCACGGGGGTCCCCAGGGACCCTGGTGTGGGGCCGTGTGAGCCAGCACCAGTTCTGCCACAGCTCAGCTTGCCTTTTGGGCGACGGCATCGCTCCCCCAGTGCAGTGCAGCCATCCCCAGAGCTGGGAGGCAGAGCCACAGCCCCACATCTGCCCCCCTTCCTGCTGCATGCACCCACCCCTCAAGCAAACCCACCCAGTGAGGTGCCCAGTGCCCCACAGCCTCCAACTGCATAGGGCCACACATAGGGGGGTCCCGAGTCTCCCAGTGCCTACCTGGGGGTGCTGAGGGGTGGCCAGAGGAGCTTGAGGCCAGGCTAGCACTGCTGAGGTTCAGGGAGCCCCCTCCTAAATGCTGTGGGGCTGGTGGCCAGGCCCCACAGCCAGGGGCGGGCAGGGCTGTGCCCCGCCTCTGTGGGGCTGGCAGTGGGGACAAGGCCTGGGATGGGACCTCCCCCACAGGACGGTGACACCAGGGAACTCCCATGGCCACCAAACCACCACCATGAACCTTGACCCACTGGGACCCACAGACACCCCTCACCCTGCTCCCTGGGCCACCCTGACCCATGGGGACCCCACAGATACCCCTCACCCTGCTCTCCTGGGCCACGGGGACCCCCTCCACCCTGCTCCCTGAGCCACCCTGACCCATGGGGACCCCACAGACAGCCCTTACATAGCTCTCTGGGACCATCCTGACCCACGGGGACCCCACAGACACCCAACACTGCACACCCCATTCCCCCCTGCCAGGCCCTAATTACCCCGCTTTGTAAACAGGAAGGGCAGCAGCCCTGCCCCACACACCCTGCCACCGTGCCCCGGGCTCAGCCCTCCTGGCCATGCTCTCTGGGGACCCACAGCAGCGCCCCCCCAGGGAAAGGGGAATGTGTGTGTGTCCCCCCAACAGCACCTCAGATTGGCACCATGAGCTTGGCTGTGATGCCTGGGGAAACCCTGGTTTTGAGAGGGGCACAGCTGTCCCCGAGCAGCCCCTGCCTCCCTGGACAATGCCACACATCCACCCTCAAGGGACAGCAACGGATCCGTACCCCAAATAGGTTCATGGGTGGTACCAGGGTCCTCCATCCCAATTTGGGACCGGAGAGGAGATGCTCTGCACGGCCCCCAGAGATGGGGAAAACCAGTGGACCCACTGCCCATTGGTGTCACTGGAGCCCGAACAGAGGCGCCTGCAGACCTGAGGGTTGCAGGGTGCTGGGGACCCAAATTGGTCCCAGGGGTACATGCTGCAGGGGGGGCTGCACCCATAGACTGCCCCCCTGCCCACCACTTCTCAGGTTCGGGGCCATAGACCTGCACCCCCCAGGAACAACCCTTTCCCCCCGGCACCCCAGCGTGGCTCCTCTTGGCTCTTTTTGGGGTGGGTGTTGCTCCCTGGCAGCCCCCGGAGCCGCATCCGGCACCGCTGCTGTGGCCCTTCCCAGCTCAGCACCCTCCCCACGTGGTGCTGGCTGCTCCTCCACCGCATCTCAAGAATCCTCCGCTACCGGCTGGGCCAGATCCTGCCCGTGACAGAGATTTCCCCCTCCACACCCTGCCCTGGGGCACCCCAGCATCACCACGTGCCTGACCCCGGGTTTTGGATGATGAGTGGAGGTGTATGACCTACCACCCCCCAAATCAGCCTCACACCCACAAAATGGAGTGTCCCCCCCC